AGGGGCCAGCCACTCACAGTGATCCAAAGAGGCTGTGAGGCTGTGCAGGGTAGAAATTGGGAGGTCTAAAGCCCAGCTGGAAATAAATTTGGCTTCAGCAATCAAGGACAACAAATATTTCTGTAAGTATGTCAGTAGCAAAAGAAAGTCCAGGGAGAGCCTCCATCCCCTGCTAGACACAGGAGGAAACATGGTAACAAGTGATGAGGAAAAGGCTGAGATGCTTAATGCCTTCTTTGCCTCAGTCTGTAATAACAAGGCAAGTTGTACTGAGGGAATCCAGCCTCGTCAGACAGAATACAGAGACTGGGAGAACGACACGCCTGCAATCCAGGAGGAGACAGCCAGTGACCTGCTGCATCACACAGACTCACACCAGTCTATGGGACCAGATGGGATACATCCGAGGGTGCTGAAGGAGCTGGCTGGGGTGCTCGCCAAGCCGCTATCCATCATTTACCAGCAGTCCTGGCTGAGCAGGGAGGTCCCAACAGATTGGAAATTGGCCAGAGTGATGCCCATCTATAAGAGTCAGAAAGATGATCTGGGAAATTACAGGCCTGTCTGCTTCACTTTGGTAGCTGGGAAGCTGATGGAGCAGCTCATCCTGAGTACCATCACACAACACATGCGGGACAACCAGATGCTCAGGCCCAGTCAGCATGGGTTTGTGAAAGGCAGGTCCTGCCTGACAAACCTGATCTCCTTCTACGACAGGGTGACCTGCTGACTGGATGAGGGAAAAGCTGTGGATGTAATTTACCTTGACTTTAGTAAGGCCTTTGACACCACTGCTCGAGGCTTGGACAATTGCATGCTTTGCTGGGTAAAAAACTGTCTGGATAACCAGGCCCAGAGAGTTGTTAAATCCGGTTGGTGGCCGGTCATGAGTGGTGTCCCCCAGGGCTGGGTTTTGGGGCCACTCCTGTTTAACATCTTTACTGATGATCTGGACAAGGGAATCGAGTGCACCCTCAGTCAGTTTGCAGGTGACCCCAAGTTGGGTGGGAGTGTTGATCTGCTCGAGGGTAGGGAGGCTCTGCAGAGAGACCTGGACAGGCTGGAGCCATGGGCTGAGGCCAACTGGGGGAGTGTCAATAAGGCCAAATGCCGGGGGCTGTCCTTGGGCCACAACAACCCCCAGCAGCGCTACAGGCTTGGGGAAGAGTGGCTGGAGAGCTGCCAGTCAGAGAGGGACCTGGCGGTGCTGATTGACAGCCGGCTGAACAGGAGCCAGCAGTGTGCCCAGGGGGCCAAGAAGGCCAATGGCATCCTGGCTTGTGTCAGCAATAGCGTGGCCAGCAGGGACAGGGAAGGGATCTGACCCCTGTACTCGGCACTGGTGAGGCTGCACCTCGATGACTGATTTCTGGGCCCCTCACTCCAAAAAGGACATTGAATGACTTGAGCGTGTCCAGAGAAGGGCAACGGAGCTGGTGCAGGGTCTGGAGCACAGGTCGTACGAGGAGCAGCTGAGGGAACTGGGGGGGTTTAGTCTGGAGAAGAGGAGGCTGAGGGGAGACCTCATCGCCCTCTACAGCTCCCTGAAAAGAGGTTGCAGAGAGCTGGGGATGAGCCTCTTTAACCAAGTAATACACGACAGGGTAAGAGGTAATGGCCTCAAGCTGCGCCAGGTAAAGTTTAGAGTAGATGTCAGGAAGCATTTTTTTACCGAGAGGATTGTCAGGCGTTGGAATGTGCTGCCCAGGGAGGTGGTGGAGTCCCCATCCCTGGAGGTGTTTAAGGGTCGTTTAAATGAGATGCTGGGGGATATGGTGTAGGGGAGAACTTTGTAGTCAGGCTGATGGTTGGATGCGGTGGGCGGAGGAAGCAAGCAGCCGATTCAATGTGAATGATAGAGCAAGCTTCAACTTTATTGAAAGAAATCACACCTTATATAAGCACTCTACAATACACTACTTGTAACTCTATTTGATACATTAAAGAAACTACATTATAATATCTCAGCCATTGGGTACATCTAAAAGGTCACATTATAATATCCCAGCCCCTTGTGGCATTTCTGGTATGCATAAACATCTTTCTTGCTGTGAACCTGCTTCCCTCCCAGGGCTGTTTTTGTCTCACCCCCAAGGTCATAATGCACCCCAACTTATCTCTTTGTTCTCACAACAGTCCCTGTTAGCATCACTGAGCCTTGAATCTCCTTCCTTATTAGTATAACTGTACCCTGGGTTTTTTCCTCTGTTTACCTCAGGTGGCTGTGACCGACTTCTGCAGGGAGCTATGGCCTTGCTCTCTGCAAGCCATTCTCCAACAGTTGGACTCAATGATCCCAAGGGTCTTTTTCAACCTGAATGATTCTATGATTCTATATACTTTGTGTCAAACAATAACTGGGTAAATGCAAATATAATTCTGGGAGTAAGGAACAGGACCTAGCACTCTCCTCCACCCACTGCTCTGTTCTTTGGGTGGCAGGAGCTGCTCCCACATGTTCTCCTTCTGTCCATGTCTCATACTCTCCACTACCATGAGGGCTAAAGTCAGTGGAGGAAGCCGAGGATGCTCCATGGGTCGCAGTGGTTCAGGAACTCTTAGAAGAGATGTGGATTTGAACTCCTTTGGTTTAAGGATGGCACTGAACTCAGATCTTTTCCCCAAGCTCTAACTGCTCAGCTGCGACACAAAACAGGCGGGTAGCACTAGCACAGGCCGTATTTCAAAGGAATGAAACGTGCTGGTTGCTTGCACTGACAGAAGGTGTCTGACTCCAGTTCAGAGTGGAGCCAAGGCACGCACGTGGGCACACCCAGGACTACAAGTCAGTGCCAAGTCTGGAAGATGGTCACTCCTCTCTGCATCTCCTGGGTACGGGCAGAGGTGTGCTCCTGCCTGGCATGCTCTCTGGTGTGGATCTCAGATTGCAGTACCCAACCATCCCCTTATTTTCAACGCGCTTCAGTCATCAAGCTTAGGGGTGGGAGGTGTGCTCCCAGCATGACGGTGAGAAGCTGAGCACAGCAATGCCGGGCATCACCAACCCAAAGGGTACCAACAGGCAGCCCCTCCCCAACCCACTGTGCTGCCCAGTGAAGCCACTGCTCCCCACTCGTAGGCAGACATCCCCCCAAATGTGTGCCTGTGCTCCCTCATCAGACAGAGCTGTTATTCACAGCTCAGCTGATTGCACGGTGGAGTAACAGCTGGGAACTCGGGCAGCTGGCAAAGATGCAGTCAGAGGAGACGTAGAGCAAAACTTCCAGTGTGAGTCTCCATCAGTTGTTCAAACCTGCTGGGCGATACAATCAGCTCAATATAAACAGGACACTTTGGGGAAGAACTGCAGTGTGGATCCTGCTTCCCTGCCTTTAGAGCTAGACTTGATTTTACTCTTTCCCCTCAATTCATACTGCTCATTATCTGATCTAAACTAATTCTTTATTTTGATTTTTGTTCATCTAGCTTGCTTACTCTTCTCACTTTGGAAGGTTTGTTATCAAATAGTCAAAATTTAGCTCATGAAGTAGTTTCCTGATCTCGTGTAAATACTATTGTTTTGGTGGTAATGGGAACTGCATTAATGCAAATTGTAAGCACTGCGGATCTCAAAATAAATATGGAATGTGACTTGTGTGTGCTGTGAAACCACAATCAGTCAAGTTCTTCTCTAAACACAGTCACTACAAACTAATTACTTTCAGTGGCTGAGAGCCGTCATGTAGATTCTGCCTATCACCATCATCTGAGATTGTGTGTTTCTTAACTGTTTTCAGTTCATGGATTTGTAGAGCAGCCACAAGCAATGCTTGAACAGACAAAGGGCGTATTTTTGTTTCCTGCTTTATAGACCTGGAGGAGATTCTTTGCACAGAAATCAGCCCAACCTAAATATGTTCCTGTGTTTCTATACACACTTTGAGCTCTTCTAACACCACCTTAAAACTGGCTCCCATCAGTTGTCTCTCCTCAGTCTGAAATGACCTTTGTCAGGGGGAATGCATGTTCACAGATTAGAAGGGAACAGTCTGGGCAACCTATCTTCCTCTTCAAACAAAAAGGCTCTTTTGATCAGAGATGGAGAGATGCTACTCTGCTACACCAACCTCATCAGGAAGATTGAAACTGGAGAAATACATACAGTCGTATAACTTGATACTCAACTTGCATGACAGCTTTATAAATATGGATGTGTAAATACACCTACAGACTTATCTTACTTAGAACAGATATTTATCTTTTCTAAGGAAGAATGCAGTGTCACCACAGAAGATTTTTCACATACTTGACACTACTACTTGGTCTGCTTGAAGGGAAAGGATGGCAATATACTTCAAGGGCCTTGGGAAAGCAATGTACACCTTGCAGTGGCTGGAGGCTGGATTTATAAAAGGATGCCAGGTGCCCAGCTCCAAAGGGAGAATTTTGGAATTAGCACTATCCCCGTCTGCCACCTCATTTGGGCAATCCCTGTCTCAACCAGCAAAGCTCAGCTGTGGGAACGCTTGTTCCTAGGCATGCCTAGAAGCAGGCCAGATTTAAAAGTGAACAGCTCTGTCCCTGGCTCCTCTCTAAAGGCTGGGGTGAGTGTTTCACACTACACCAAGGACATCAGGGTCAACACAAAGCAGCCCAAAGAAAAAATCTCTTCTGCTTTCTGCTTCACTGGGGAAGGGATCCACCTGGGAGTCGCAGGGCCAGATTTAGCTTTCAACTGAGAGGAAGCTGCCTATCATTTCCCCATCAGACCACCTGGGACACGTGCAGCATCCAGCAGCAAGAATCAGATGAAGAAATGGGTCTCCCAGCCTCTCAGCTTACCGTGGCCCTCGCCAGCTCCTCTGTAAATCCACCCCATTTAGGACACCTGCCTTCATCACTACCCGCTGCTACATGGTGGGACCCCAACAGGCCTGAATTTCCTACAGCTCCCACCTCCGTTACAAGACCCCCTACTCAACCTCTGCACCCAAAACACCTGAGAAAACTAAGCTCTACAATCTTAAAAGTTTTGAGCAAAGTTGGGCAACATCTGTCTAGTTGCTCTTCCAGATGCTGGTTTCTGTTTTATTTTCTTCACTGTGGTTTATTTATTGGAACAGGGACTGGACAGGCGTTTCTCCCTTCTTCTAGCTACAACTGTAAAGGAATAAAAAAGTTTCCATTTAACACATAATACCACAGATTGGGACTGTCAAGTCTGTTTTATGGCTATTCTGCTTGCTACATTGCTACATACACATATGAAAAAGAAAAAAATAACACAAACCTCTCTCGGTGGGGTCATAAGAACAGTCGCTCTCACTAACAATGTGCAAGGCCAAGTCAAAAATCTCAGCCAAGACCTGCTCATTAAATGCTCATTAAGTGCCAACCACACTGAGAGCTCCTCCTGTGCCTGCACTGGTGATGTCTGCCGTCCTTTGTAAGATTCCTGCCAAGAAAATGCTGCCTGTCAAACATTCAGACTTCAGCTGCCACTTCTCTGATCTGGAAGAACGACTCAGCAAACAACACAACGACCAAGGACATCAGTATATGCAGCATCTGGTCACTCCAGCCTCTACTTCTGCAAAAAGCACTTACAGGAGAAAGTGCTGGAAAGCAGGCGCACATTCAACCTGGGCAGCAGCAAAACCCCCACAGGCCGGAAGGGAACTTCCTCCTTGAGGTACTGGTTTTCTTTTTTGGTAAATCTGAAAGGCAAATGTCTTGTGACTGGCCAGACTAAGCTTCTCCTGGTGCCTCAGCATGCACTGATCATGTGGCTTTACTGGGATTGCAAATAAAGATGAGGTATTAAACAAGTCAGGCAAGCAGAAGGTGGTCCAGGATTTCCTGCACTTTCCAGCGTTCCTATTTTCTACCCTGTTTGTTATAACAAACAGCATCTCCTGTTATACCCTTACAAGGCATGATTGAAAAAACAAATGTGTAAGGTTGAGTTACAATGAATATAGGTTTACCTTTCCAGCTTACTGCTGATGGGGAATTACTTATATCGTCCATTGGAAATCATGGGTGCATTGTGCTGCTACTTAGGTTATAAGGTAGAAGGATGATTTTTTGAATTTCAGAGCCTTCCAAGTACCTGTTTAGAGGGTTACCACCATGAACACGGCTAAGCTAATTGCTTGACTTACAACTGTACGAGGTACAGAAAAAGCTTGCTCTCAGGCTTGTCCTCTTGATGAGCCATCTAACAAAGCAAAGTCCCAGAGCACAACTGCTTCAAAGAAAGCAGTCTTCTGCCCGGTTTTGCCCCAGAAACTGCAGATATGGGCTGTTTTGCTACAGGGTTTGTGAGCCTGCCTTTGGCTCATAACTCTCTTCCTTCTGCTTGCTGGCCATGGCTCCTCCTTCTTCTGCCAGGCTGCAGAGCAAAGAGGGTGGTTGCTCAAGGTGCATGTCTGCCTGACACACTATCTCCACCTTTATTCTGTGGTTCCCAGGCTCATCACAACAGAAATCTTGGAAGTAAAGGCATAAGGAATGACACATGTTGGAGTCTGCTGAGCTTTAGAAGTTATGACTCTGCCTGTTGATTCCGTAGGACAAACTACATCCCCAAGACTGTGCTGCAGAGTGATTCCTGTGAAGTAAGATGGCAAAAACCTACACCTCAGCTGAAGAGGAACACAGTTGTGATTGTCAACCCTCTTGACATCATGTGCTCTGGAAGCCCTGCTGCCCTCTTTGGGAAGGACTCCTGGCATCAGGTGTCACTCAGCAGGCGTCAGAGCACTGGGTCTTACCGTGAAGAGCACGCACGTTCTCTTCCTCCCCTGCCCGAAGAGCCCTGGAGGTGACAGAACATCTAAAATGTGGGCACTTGGTCTGAATTGTACTTGGCTCCTACAGGAGACCTAAGAGACCTTGCTCACAAAAGAAGGGCTACAGAGAACACAACACAATCTGCTTTACTCAGGAGGTAAGAGAACAAAACTTCCTCCACAGACCATCTCATTCTGGGTGAAATGCTGTGCCAACAGAGAAGAGCCTCAGTGCCGCTGGGCAGCAGGCTCAGCAGGGCCCAGCAGTGGCACTGGTCACAAACCTCAGGCCACATCTGATGAGCATCTGGAAAGAGCAAAGAAAGAAGCCCTGGCTTCTGTGCCAGGATGTGCACTGAAACCTGGCGAAAGGTCAATTAACTTCTGGAAAAGGTCACCCTAATTCATCCTGTTTGTTCAAAGTGATAAATTCCAAGATGTTATAAGGCTAATGGCTAGAAAACCACCACTCAAAGTGATGCTCCCAACTGCACCATGAACTGCCTGTTCTGGGTGTATCTGGGTTGATGGTCTTTGAATTGACATGAAATTAAGACTTTTACAGCATTTTACCTGTCTGCACACCAGCGTGTGCTCTGCTGTCCTTAGGCTCAGGTGACTTTGGCTCCAGCTGCTCCTGCACTTGCTGCTCAGCCAGGGCTCTCCTGTGCACTTCTCTGTGCCTTGGTGTCTGACGACAGTGATGTGGGATATTCTGGGTAGGCAGGAGGTAAAAAAAAAACCCATCCCAGATTACCTTCCATATATAAGTGGTACTTCTGCCCAAAGGTAAATGAAGATGATTGCCTCTCACCCCACAGACTTGCAGTTCAGGGCCCTGACCCCATGGGGGTGTTTGCTATGAAGACTTGTGCTGCACCCAGCTCCTCGGGACCTGCCCCACAGGGCACTGCCCCTGTACCCTTCTCCGCTGCTGGGTGGTCCAGAAAAGCCACAGCCAGGCACAGGGCACTGGAGTGGAGCACAGGAACGCAGGCTGCTCCTCTGTGCTCTCCACCACAGCACTGGACATTTCCACCCCAACTCCTCCAGGGAGAAAGAGGTCTGTGTCTTGACGGAGTCCCATCCCAGAAAGGCCAACCTGCCTCTCTTAGGGCCACTCCCACCCATACACAATGCCAAGGAGGAGAAATGTAGCCACCGCTTACTTTTGCCTCGCACCAAAACAAAGCCTCAGTGGTCTGGGCAGCTAACATCACCCACTAGAAAAGAGAACAAAGGCCAAGTGGGAAAAACTCCTCTGATGGTCTGTGCTAAAAAGCAGAGTCACTCCCTTTGACCCAGCTGGAATAACAAAGACACTTACAGATCCACTGAGGCCCAAGATGTTCACGAGATGAATTGAGGGCAATGGGGTCACTTGCACTTCCTGGGCTCTGCTCCTTTGCCTGTGCACAGGGAACAGACAAAGGAAGAGTGCTGTATCAATGAACCCAGCTTTGCTCTCTCCCCTGCTAGCCCCTCCAGCACCATTTACATCAGAAGTCTAGGCACAAAAGGAGCAAGCAGCGGCAGCTGGATTGGCTCGGTCTTACTTTACCAACACTAGGCTGAGCAACTCAGCCAGCGCTGCCCCGCAGCTGCCCCTGCAGTGGAGGTACATCTCCCCCAGCTCTCAAGCTGCCTTTCAGCTGAGCTAGAGCATCCCACCAACGGCCACACTGGCACCAGAGGTTTGCTATTGCAGTGGGATTTACCTGAGGATGGTATCCAGCCAGAGCTCTTTCCTCTCTTACAAGCTGCAGAGACAGGAGAACCAGTATCACACCCCACTGCCACCAATCAGGGCTGACTACCTACACACGGTCCCCGTCAGCCCACACCTTGCCTCACCCCTTTGACAGTGCACAGCTTTGCAAGGGCTGTTTCTGAAGGGCAGAGGGACAGCTCAGAAAATAAGTTGAGCTGCAAAACACTGCACAACCAAAGTGGTGCTTCTTCTTCCCACCCCACGACATGATCCTGAGGAGCCAGCTGGGTCCTCAGGGAGAGCACTGGCCCAGACAGCCCAAGGCCTGGGTACACATCACCGCCACTCACCCCAAAGTGACCACGTGTAGGCTGTTGGGCCAGACAAGGACAAGGGTCCTGCAGCAGTCCAGACCCAATGCTGCATCTTCTTATGTGTACCCGCATGCCATCCTCTCACTGCACAGCACCCACAGCTCATGGAGACACACCCTGTGCTGCAGCCAGAAGCTGGTGCCATACCTGCAGCCAGGAAGAGCAGGGGCTGATGGTGAGTTTGCCTTCTGGGGGGCTACTATGGCAGACTCACTCCTGGCTTCCCACCAGGAAGGCTGGGGGACTGCTCTGATGGGGACCTCACCCTGCACCTTCTGCAGGACAGAGCCAGAAAGCTCCCACCAGCATGGTGGGACAGCAATGCTGCTTTCCAAAGGAAAGATACAGGGTGGGGTTTCTCCCCTTTTATTTTTCCTCCATTCCTGGTTCTGTGGCTGCCCAAGGTGCAGCCAGACAAGGGGAGAAGGGTCCCTGCCTGGCCACCAGTTCCCTCCCTCAGCATTACTGTGGTGATATGGAGTTATATTGCTGTGGCGTTGAGACAAAGCCAGGCGCTGGAGCTGAGCACAGTGGGACCCAAGGAAGGGCATGACTGGCTTGAGGCTTTGCACCGAGCCCTGTCCCTACCAGATGGGACAGTGCTCAAGACAAAGGCATTGCAGCCCTTGTTGTCATGTGTGTCCATGTCCCCTCGCCAGCTCCCCAAGGTCCGTCCTTGTCCCAGGAACTCCATATGCTGCTTTCTGTGTAGGGCTGTTTCTGTGAGTCCTGCAGGGACCCGTCCTTCCTGTCTTCCCTGCCAAAGGGGACAGGGGAGTCATGCCCCCACTGCCTGCCCCATTGGCACTGACTCGACCCTGGAGACAACTCAAGTTTCCTTCAGGGCTCACCAGGCTCAGTGGGGCTTTTGCACCTTTGGGTGCTGTTTCCCAGTGCCCCCTGGGCTGCCTCCTGCTCTCATGCAGGCATGGAGCGGTTCTGGAGAAACAGTTTCGGTGGGGGGAAAAAAAAACCAAAACAAAACCAAACATGCCATGAAATCTGTTCTAATGCACAATCATCCCCCAACCCCCTGCAACTGCACCAGGGGCCAGTCTCATCTCATCCCTGCTGGGGTCTATTGGCACCCTCCCACCCCAGCACCAGCTGCCAGAGCCCTGCACTTGCTGGGTGGTTTGGCCAGGTGCTCTTCTGCTTTTTCCTCCTCCTTTTTGACATGCCAGGCTGGGGTGGGGGCAGGTCCATCCCCCCACCCCACTGCGGCTCCTGTTGTCCCATCCTGACGGTGCTGAACTGCTCCAGGCTCAGGATGGCATTGGTGGGCTCGGGGACGCTGTAGTCAGGGGTAAGCAGCTCCATAGGCAGCAAGAGAGCTGATGCTGCGGTGTAGGATGGCCTGCTGGTGCCACCAGGGTCCACAGGAATGGAGAGGCTCCTGGGGCCATCCTGGCTGGGCAGGAAGCAAACAAGAAGCATCTCCTCGGGCAGTGCAAGGTTGCCTGCTGGGGCCTCAACGCCTTGGTTGGGGGTGGGGTGTGTGCGCAGAGTACAGGGACTGGTGGTTCTTGCTCTGTGTAGGCACTATTTTCTGGTGATACACTATTTTAAATGGGTAAAGCACAGCAGAACACAGTTTACAACCTGCTGAGGATCATTCCCCAGGCATAGAAAAAATGAGGGCAAAGCTTTTCTATTTAAGATGCGTTTGACTTACAGCACTATTAAACATTCACCAGCACCAGAGATTTCACTAGACTGAAGGATGACAGCACTGTATACCAGCATCCTTTCTGGACATTCCTGGGTAGAAATTCTAGAGACTTACTTAAAGGACAGAAATCGAAAGAGTTACAAAAAGCTTTTTAAATTAAGCATATCAAATAAAAATCAAACAAGAAAACAAAAATCAACAGGTAAATCCCCGAGGCACTAGTGAGGAACAAAGAGTTTTCTGTTAAGTCCACTATCCCTCACAAAACAGAAAAAAGACTTAAAAGAGATTTCTGCAAAGAAACTGCAGATTGAAGATAACCCTCATAACTGCAGCACAAGTGACCGACATGGAAATGGCAGCACTGACCCTTCTCCTGCTCCTCCTACGAGCTCCTCACCAGTTACATGAAGAGGCAAAACCAAGGATGACTGAACAGATCTGAGCAGAATTTTGTCCCACCAAATTCAAAATGATCAAGAAGTCTATTTGAAATATGGATTCACATCCGCTATCATGGGTGATGAACTTTGCCCTAAGCACACATTATTCCTTGAGACAGGAGGTAAGGACAGTCTGACATCACCACCACAAGCAAACATTCAAAACTGAAGCATCCAGAAGACAGAGAAACCTCTACCATTTTTTCAGTGATATTTCAAGTCCCGCAATACTCAACACAGGACATCACAAAAGGCCACTAAACTTAATGACAGCAGTCTCTTCGTAGGTTTCTTACTCAAAAGCAAAAAGCCACATAGCCTTGGGGAAACCCTTGTCCTCCTGTGTGGCTGATGTCTTCCCATGGCTCTTTCCCAAGGCAGGAGAAATGACCACCTATTTGGAAGTCTACACAAATTCAGAAGTACACTCAGCTCTCCAACAGCCATTACCTGTGGGCCAGAAGTCCTACTACACCCCAGAAATGCCTGCTCATCATCTGGCAGTCATTCTGCATGAACCTATCTAAAACAGTCCAACCCTCATCAGAAATGAGTTGACTGCAGCAGAAGCAACACTGTCTGACCTGGACAGGTGAAATGGTAGTTACAAGACAAAAAATGCAAAATAAATCATCAGAAGAGCAAAAAAAACCCCAAAACAACTAGAAAACAAATCATACACAAACCAGAGGCCCCTATTCAAACCCTAAAAAGAAAATAACCTAAAATAGAACTCTCCAAAAACCACCCAGAACATAAGCTAAGGCAAGAGAACCCCCAAACAACACAGGAATCCAGGACCAGAAAGCCCATATTTTGTCCCTAAAAATAACATGCCTTAATGCTATCCCACCTACACTGTAGCATCTCATAACCCTAGTACCCCATAACCCCAGCTCACTGTAAGCCTACACCCCTATAACCCTGGCACCCAATAACACTGGCTCTCCTTAAAACTAGGGTGTGATAACCCTGGAAAACCATTACTCCAACACTGCATAACCCCAGCACTCTAACTATTAATACCATGAAGCCCTGAGAACAAAGGCCATCAGCAGCCGCTACATCTGAGCAGCCAAGAAGCCCTGTTTTCATTGGGTGGGCACACCTGCCCCAGGTATCACTACTGGCAGAGGCCAGTCTGGTGTCACCCTGAGGTCTGACAGCTTCTGTCCAGCAGACTCACTGCTGGTTCCCTGCTTACCCAGCCAGGATGCTGGTATTGAGCCTGTTTTTCTCATGACACAGCTCACCTGTGAAAGTACAAATTCCAGGAAACAACAGTATCAGCTGAAGCCTGCTCATTATCACCTTCTCCTGATAAAAGAAACCCCCAAGAATAAAATAAAACCCCCAAGAGACCAACAAACAACAAAACCAAAAGCACACACACCACCAGTAATGTGCCTGTCCAAGAATACTGCAAGATACACATAGTATTGCCAGAAACTTTTGAATTGCTGTGCAAAAGAGTGGCCATTTACAGCATTTTAAGGAGTATGTGAATATGCAAAATGAATCAAAACCTGCCAAGAGATGGCGACTGCAAACCATAAATGGAAAGTACAGCTCCAGCAGAAAATAGATCATCGTTGCTCTCTGGCCTTAAAAAACCCGACGTGAACCCTTGACTGTTAACTGTGACCCGAGGCAGACATGACAAAGACCCTTCAAGCATTCCAGAGGTGCAGATGGGACTGGAACAGGGTGTGGGCATTCGGAACAGGCTCACCCAGGCAGGCTGGGTACAGTCACCTTCAAGTCTCTCCACCAGCACATGCTAATGTTGTTCCACTGGGGTAACCATAGCTGCAGGCAGGAAATGGGAAAGCATCTCTTAACACCAGCATTCAGCCAAGAAACTCTGCCTCCCCAGCACCAAAACAGGAGCAAACTCAAATTGTGCCCCTCCTCACACTGGGTGAGAGTTTGGGATGGCAACTGGATGCCGCAGTGTGGAAAAGCTCCAAGGACACAGCCTAAGAAAACTGGAGGGCTCCGGGTCTCAGAGTAATTCTAGAGCTAAAGCTGGGACAGACATCAATTCCAGATCAGATAATACATGCCAGCGCTCATCCTTGACCCGGGAAGTCTGCCTCCTCCCAGCCTACCCAAGGGTTTCCAACCCAGCACACTTTCTTCCCAAAGCAGGATGCTGCCTTATTTTATTGTGATGCCACTCACCTGTTCCTGGAGACGGGACCAGAGGGACACGGCACAAGCCATCAGGCTGCTGTCTGAGAGCACCAGAGCCCTCTGGGGACTACTGTTCTTCACCACGTTGCCCCTCAGAAAGAAAACAGGAGACAAAAATGATAGTGAGACATTTCATCTACGGCAGAGCTAGCTGTGGGCAACAAGTAACATTGAGACTGAGTGCTTTTGCTCTGGGGAGAAGTGCCCACCAAAGAAACACCCGCTGAATAGAAATCTCCAGTTAAACAGGAAAAGAAAAAAAGCAGATTTGAGGAGTACAACATAGGAAAAGACTACCACAAGCCTTCTTTTGTATGGTACTAAAGTGTAAACACACTCCATATACATCAAAACTATTACACAACTGTACATTTCACATAATTGCTCCATCATTATTTAAACATCATTTAATACACAGCAATCTATATTCCTGTGCAAATCAGTATCTAGAGAATGAACGCCTTTACTCTTCCTCTGGCCGTGCGCATCTTTCACCTCAATGTACACTAAGAAGCATTCGGAAAACACAAAAGCGATTGTCTGCAAAATCCCAATAAAACCTGTAGCTAAGGAATATTTTGAGAAGACTGCTGCAAAATTAATGAATGCAGACAACATCACCAATTAAGGAGCATCAGAAGCACAGCGTTTCCAAATCCGACTTCTTTAGCAGACGAATCTGAAGAGTTCTGCCCGTTGCAGTTTTTTTTCCCAGGAAGGCATCGAGTTAGCTTTTGCCCCTGAGAGAGTTCTCGCCGCATTTCCTCCCTCCCCGCCCCTGCCGAGGCCACACGCACCAAGCTCAGTGCTCGAGCAGAGGCACCAGTTGCCCTCCGACCACCCCGCGGTTCTTCTCTCGGCACTAGATCGCCCTCTCAGACCCGCTGCCGGGTCCCCCGCCCCACTGGGACTAGTAGCCGGGCCCGAAGCCCTCCCGCCCCAGACCCCGGCGCCGGCGGCTCCGACCAGGCCCTTCCCGCCCCAGCGGTACCTGCCCGCGCCGCCGCCAGAATAACGCCACGGCGCGGGGCAAGGGGGCGCTCCGGCAAGGACCCCGCTGTAGGTGACTATCCCAGCGCCTGACCCGCGCTTGCGGGCTGTGGCGGTG